CGTAGATTCACGAAGATTAGAACCAGAACGAGACCAAGTGCGTGCAATAGTTTGTTATAAATGCACGTGCAACGACCGATGTCTGGCTATATAAACCAAATCACGCGTGCAGTTCGACACAACATATTTAGGACCTGCATTGAATGTACGACCGTTTTTTTCTAAGTAACCTGATTGTATTTAGGTGTACATAAAGTTTATCTTATTACTTGTTGTCATTTCCAACACCATACTTTACCCACAGCAGAGTTAAGCAGTTTAACTCCTCTGCCATGTAGCAATTGCGCTACATTTGGTGTCAGAAGTGGGATTGATTGTATTGTGTTGGATTTATTTTGTACTAATTATTCAGATTTATATTAAAGAATTACAGACGAAAATTAACGAAATTTAAGCTGATTTAATTGTAAGCCATATTTCTATTTTGATACATTCGACAGTTACTCTGTCGGTATCAACACTTATAGATTAAGTTTCTACCTTGAAGGCTTTTAGCTATCATGGTTTAACACGTAGGTTAGGTACGCACGTGGTCCTCATTCGAGTTCTATGACCCGCAAGTGTAGGATTTTAATTATTTCACACTTGTTGTACTATTCTCATAGATTTTCGGCACTTATATTTTCACGTAGGATAGGGTTGCACGACGCTCTTTTTGCCGTAAAAAGTGAAAATTGAGCTCACAAGCGCCTTAGTTTAAGACATATTATTTATTATTGTATACATTTCCTCCGTCCAGAGAAGTTACTTAACATTTCTCATTGATTTTTCATAAACATGGCCGGAGTAGGGAAGTCGATTAATATACAGGCCGCAACTGCGTGAAAGTATTAAAACAGATAAGATATGTAGGAGATAAAATAGCTGAACGTATAGTTCAAATTAGGGATACTCAGGATACCCCATTAACTTTGGAACAAATATTAAGTATACAGGGAAGTTAAGTCAAAATCATTGGATAGAAATGATTGAGACGGGTGAAATTTTAGGACTTGAAATCCCAGACCCATTAGCCGACATTGATAACTTGACATTAAATGCTTTACCGGAAGTTCCTTCGAATCAATCTGACAATACAGAGATTCTTAGGCTATTACAAAATATGTCTACACAGTTTGTAACCTTGTCGACACAAATGGCACAAGTACAAAGACGAATGGACATAATGGAAGACAAATCAAGACCTAGTGTAGATTTACCCGTTTTACCTACATTGACTGGTAAATTAACTACACCAAACCAAGTCTCCAAATACTTTGAAGGATACGCCAAACGCCGTGAAAAACGAGCTTGGGCGTCACGAGCAAGCAATGCTCGCAGAGTCGAAACCGATAAAATAAATTCACACTAAAGTAAATGAAAAGTCGGCTTCTCTTAAGAAAGGCAACAGTAAAACTGACATAGAAGATACCAACTTAGACTCGAATACAGATGTAACTTCAAATTCGAGTTCAGAATCAGAATCAGACCATTCAAGTAGACGACATAGAAATAGACGAAGACGTCATAGCCCGAGTCCACAGAAACCTAAAATGCCAACCTTTTCCATCGACCCCAAGGCCAAATGGGAGCCTTTATTTTACATTTTGAAAGGATTGCCCGCCATCAGGAATGGTCAAATAGGAAAAAATTGGAAAACTGTTTAGGAAATTCCGCTCTTGAGTACGCAGATAAGCTTTCTTCTGATCTATTATATAGAGAAGTCAAGAAGGAATTAAACTTTCGATTAAGCGAGAAAGATGAACCTGTTTCTGCTAGGCGCGAGTTACAATCGTTACGACAACTCGAAACGGAATCTCTACGTGCTCAACGTGTCCAAACATTGGCCATGGACGGCTATACGGACGCTAGCAGTAAAACTAGAAACCAAATAGCCATTGAATGCTTTCTCCGTGGTTGTAAGGAGAAGGATGCGGTGCAGAAGGCTATGGAAAAGAATCCAAAATCGGTTCAGGACGCTTTAAAACACATGAGACTATTTTTAGCCAATCAGAAAAGTTTATTTGGTTCTAAAAACTTTTCACATCGACAAGTAAACTTTAAGACCGAGTCGGATACAGAATCCGTTAACACGATAAGCACACATGAAACCTTGAAACACTACACGAAAAGATAGGGAGGGGAAACAGCTTTGTTCTGTACTTGATAAAAAGCTTGATTCTATGCTTGGTAAACGGTTGGATTCTATAGTTGCCAAGTAGTTGACAAAGGTGACGTTTCCTCTTTAGAATAGAAATGACTATAACTACAATCGCAATAACGGCGAACACAGACAGATATCGAACATAGACGAATCGCAATAGATAGGCCTACGATAAACCGTTCCGTGACCAACTTCGACGATTCGAACATTATAATGACAGACGAGATCGAGATCGTGAACCGGCTCGACGATAGACGTTCCGGTAATTATGACAGAGTATCTTGTAAGACGCAGTGAAAGGACAGAGTCGAAAACTGAACATTCTCAGTCTAACTCCGATCGAAATCGAAGACGGGAAAGAAAAAGTAGAAACTTTTCGCCAGTTCGTGATAAAAGACCCGAATCTAGACATAGAAGTGGTTCAAGGTCAAGCTAGGATACGTTTTTCCAAACAATTGAATTCAATTTTACCCGTGATGATCAATGACACTAAAATAAACGCAGTAGTTGATACGGCTGCTATGCTTACATTGGTTAGCGAACAGGTATGCAAGACGTACGACGGACAGTTGGCTTATGAGATAATTAGATTGTCTGGATTAGGTGATCAACCTGTTTACGGTCAACGCGTTTCTGGAATGACTATAAAAATCGGAAATGAATACTTCGATTGGGACGTGTATATGGTACCATGACCGACCACATAATTTTCAGGTTTAGACTTTTTGGCGCATTATAAATGCATAATAAATATAGATCAACCGTCAGTTCAAATCGGCAATGATATAATCGACGCTGATTTACAATCCTATGGTCCTAGAAAAGACTTATCTGAAGTTTTAATCAGTAAACGCGTTACGATTCCTCCAAATTCAGTAGGTTTGACTTACGAAAGATTTTAAAGGAGAATTCGTGTCTGAACCTAATCCTAAAAATAATAAGGGTTTGTTGGTTTCCTCTACTCTAGGGAAATCCAGATATACAGTTTTTCGTGTCATAAATGATTCTAACTCATTCAAGACATTACGGAAAGGTCTTGAGAGATCCGATCGTACTTGCCAGTTTCAGATTCTCCAAATAGCTTAACTGGCTTTGACACTATTCCGAAAGGCCCCGGCTTTTCCATTAATATGGTTGACGTGGAATCCACATCAATGACTGTTCCCGCTCACTTACAGGAACTGACAAATCAGGTGATGATTTGCCACCTACTGAAAAGGCCAAATTAGTGGAGTTACTAACTAAATATCAAGATACGTTCGCTGGACATGATTTAGACTTTTCTGAGATAACTCATACAATTGACACCGGAAGCAATCGTCCTATTAAACAGAAAATGCGCAGAACAACTGTTCATTTCCAAGATCGGGAATTTGAGCATCTGCAAAAATTACCCAAGGAAGGCATTATTCAGCCATCCTCATCCCAATTTTCCAGCGCACCTGTGTTAGTAAGAAAGATGGTTCGTTGCGATGTTGCATTGATTTTAGAGCATTGAATAATATAACAGTTAAAGATAGATTTCCTTTGCCGAATATTCAAGATTGCTTACAAACATTGCAGGGGACATCTTTATATTCGACCCTTGACATAGCTTCTGGGTATTGCCAAATTGAGGTTGAATCGACATAAAACCGCATTTATAACGAGACACGGGTTATACGAACATATCCCCATGGGTTTTGGCTTGTGCAACCCACCCGCAACATTTCAAAGAGCAATGAATTTAGTTCTACGGGGTTTTACTTGGCACGATGTTTTAGTATATTTAGATGATATCGTAATTTTAGGGAAATCATTGAAGAAATACCTTAACAAAACTAGAAGAGGTATTCAAACATTTTCGTCAGTATGGTTTGAAATTGAAATCTAAAAAATGTGAATTACTGAAGAAGAGGGTAGTCATTTTAAGCCGCTCAGTAAGCGCAGACGGTATTTCGATTGATCCTGCTAAAATAAAAGCTATAATTGAGTGGTTAGTTCCTACTGATATATCTAAATTACTTTCATTTCTAGGCTTTGCTAGTTACCATCGTGATCATATTGCTAAATTTGTAGACAAAACTAGTTTGCTATTTTCTTTGGCTCATACTAAAGGTGATTTTTAAATGGAATTCCGATTACCAGACAGCCTTTGAGTATTTAAAAAACGCTTTGATATCGGCACCTTGTTTAGCTTATCCAACACCGGACGGTGTTTTTGTTCTTGATACGGACACCTCTGATAAAGCGATAGGTGCCGAACTGTCCCAAGAACAGAGATGTCCCTATATGACATGGTAATCCTTCATCGGCCCGGTAATAAACATACCAATGCTGATGAGTTATCGCGCTTGGACGATCCGTTATCTTCCTGTAACTGTTACTATGCCGAATGCAATCTCAATGACTTACCTTGTGGCGGATGTCCATATTGTACTAGAGCTCATAACCAATGGGCGCGTTTCTGTGATGACGTTGACGATGTCGTTCCTCTCGCATCGACTAAGGTCATGGGCGATGCACCAATTAGGCTGACGAGATTAGACAACTCAAATTCAACCCTTTGCAACGGCTCCCAAGCTGATGCTATACACTTATCTCCAGTATCCGAAAACTCTAACTGGCTGGAGAGTTGTACTGCAGAGAAACTTAGGGATTTGCAGTGATCAGATAAATGCATTATGTTAATTATTGATTGGTTAGAAAGTGATACTATTCCTAGAGATTCAGGTTTGTATTTGTGTAGTCCAACGACAAAATATCTTTGGTTGAATCGAAATACGTTAATTCTCGACAATGGCATACTTCACATAACTAATCAAGACAAACTTCCTCCAAGTCTGCAGGTCACTTTGGTCGAAACAAGACTTACGATCGAATTCGTAAACATTATTGGTGGTACGGAATGTCTTATGACTGCAAATTGTACGTCAAGAATTGTTCATTAAGTAATCAGAATAAAAAGGCATGTCGGAAGCCTAGGGCATCTTTAAGAAGTTACCATTCTGGATATCCCATGGAACGTTTACACATAGATATCCTTGGACCTTTCATGACTAGTAATAAAGGAAACAAATATGTTCTAATGATCATAGATCAATTTACAAAATGGTTGGAGATTATTCCCTTACCAGATCAGTCTGCGGAAAAAGTCGCAAAGAATTTGTTGATGAAGTTCATTTGCACATTTGGTTGTCCACTTCAAATTCACTCTGATCAAGGAGCTAACTTTGAGAGCAATCTCTTCAAGTTACTCTGCTCCTTACTTGAAATTTCGAAATTCAGGACGACACCTTATCATCCTTCCTCCAACGGTCAGGTAGAACGGTATAACACGACTGTTCTTCAAATGATAAGATGTTACATAGACGGAAAAGGACATGAGTGGGACGATAATCTCGCCCTTATTTCCATGGCATTACATTCCGTAGAAAATCAACAAACTGGCTTTACTCCAAACATGATGATGCTTGGACGAGGTTTCCCAACCACTGGATCTTCTATTAGGAACCTCAGATGCCAAGAAATTTGCTTCATCTGAATGGGTGTCGGAACTCAGGAAAACTTTACAAGAAGTACATGAATTAGCTCGTACGCATTTGAAAGGGTGTCAGATTAGGCAAAAGAGGGACTATGATATCTCTCTTCATGAAAATCTATTTAATATTGGAGACATTGTTTACCAAGTGGATTCACAAGGATAGGGTATAGCAAGAAACTTATGCCTCCATGGAAAGGTCCTCACAAAGACTTGTCATCCCTTGTATGAATTGTCCAATCAAAAGACTATAGTAAATGTTGTATTATGTACTGTTAGATAACAAGTTTGTATTTCCCGCTATATGACGTCATCACGAGAGACACGTGATTATGATCACTCTTGTTCTAGAAGCTTGCCAATGGCCTACGAGTCTGTAATGTATCACCGATATTAAACCATTTGTATTATTGCTTACGTTCTATTTTATGAATAAACAACATAATAAAACAGTAAAATGATTCATCATGATCATTTAAAACTTTGTAACGATAACCCCTTCCCGATTTTAAGATGTTGCTAACTTTGTTCTTATAGAATATGAAGTTTGAATTTAATTCCGATGAATTGGGTTATTAATCCTTAACTTTTCAACCCACAGCTTCCCTCTCAAAAATAAGAAGGGGAAGAGTGTTACGGGAATTATCTCCCGTATTCGCAGTCTTCATTATCCAGTTACTCATACAACAGCTTCCGAGATAACATCGGCAATCTCCGTAGATTCACGAAGATTAGAACCAGAACGAGACCAAGTGCGTGCAATAGTTTGTTATGAATGCACGTGCGCGCTCAACCAATCAACGACCGATGTCTGGCTATATAAACCAAACCACGCGTGCAGATCGACACAACATATTTAGGAGCTGCTTTGAATGTACGACCGGTTTTTCTAAGTAACCTGATTGTATTTAGGCGTACATGAAGTTTATCTTATTAGCCTACTCCTCGATTTTCTTTATGAATCCTTCACTTTGATCCATATTTCATGAGCAACCAACTCGGCAACGGCGGCAGAATGCGTCACCTATTTTCGTGTACAATGTTTGATCTATAAATAAGTCTAGAAAAACACGTTGTATGGATACCCAGTGCTATAATTAACTTCTCATAGTATTTATCTTTAATATCAATTCATTATAACTAGTGACAATTCCTTCAAAGAACTACGATTTAAAAAAAAAAATAGTGACTGACAAAATAAGATACGTAGCGTGATTTATTGCTAAAAGTCACTGAAACAACATAAGAACATGGTCCACTTTGTGTTCCATAGAAATTTTCTGCTGACACGGAATCTGCTAGTTGATCACGTGACTTCATTGGTTGGATTACATTCTAGCAGACGACACTTGGAATTCCGATTACAGCTTAGGATTATAAGGAAATTCGGCCGATAAAAAATGGTGACGTTTGGTAATAACTGAAATCCGCCATTTTGTATTTGTCAAAGTAT